AGCCTAGTTTTCAGAAGGGAAACCTGGCCTTTTAAAACTCAACTTTACAGATTTTAATTGTTATATGTATCTAAGATTTAAAGTTTGTTTACATTATATATTTACATTTTACCCAATGATCAGCTTTCAAGTAAAGCAAGAAAATAACTGTGAAACACTTTTAATTTTGCTGTACAGCTCACATTACTGTCAGTCAATTCAAAGTCATTGTTACTGGCCTTACTGAAAGGCTATAAAGAGCTTAAAACCTTGAGAACTTACACAGTACAAGGTGTGTGCTTCAAGGCTCTTTCCTCAAAGATTTGCAATTAAACTAACCCTACCTCATTTAACCAGGTAGGTGACAAAAGTACAGGTCATGCAATTTTGTGCTAATATGTATTCCCAGAATTGACTGAGGAGAGAACAAGGTAGTTTTATCCCAGGGACAGAGTTAGTGAGACATGAAAGAGAAAAGGAGCTTGATGGATGTATCTGGAAAATGTTCTTATGGGTACTGATACTTGATAAAGAATAGAGCAAGTCAACACGCCACTGAAACAGAGGTCAAATAAAACAACTGATGCCAAGGCATTTTGGAAGGTTAGTTGTCATAACAAAACGTGACAAAGAAACCCAAGTCATCCATTCTCGACTAACTGAGGGAATAAATTAGGGCTGCATTAAGGTCCAAAGATACGTCTGTTTTAACAATAACCCTATATCCTGGGATGTGTAGGTTCTCACAACCAGGCTTAATTTGATGCATTTCCCCTTCAGCTCATCCCAGCGTTCCAATTCTAGAGAAGGGTTCCCAGGCCCTTCTTTATGTGGGACAAGCTCTGACTAGAGGGACAGGATGATGTCAGTGTGCCAGAGCTGCTGGCTTGTATCTGACGTGGATCCACCAGACGTTCAATATGACAGACTGCTACTTGCTCCCAGATGCTGAGCTACTCAGGCTGTCATGCGGACATCTCACCACTTCTTGCGCAGTCAATCTGCCAAGTGATTCTGGGCCACTGTGGGCAGCTAAGGTGACCCAATGCTTCCCAATAGCATACTTGTCCTGGTCTACCTGCGAGGGACAGAACACTCTTGGGCAGCTATTCACCGTTCAGCAGCAGCCATTGCTCCCAGATGCCCACTGCAGTTTACAGGGGGCAGTTTACATTAGCAGATGGCACAGGTTGCTGAGTAGAAATTGAACAGTTCTTCCCCTCCCTCTGAGACCCAAGAATCCCCTCAGAGGTAAGGTACTGCTGCTCTAGCTCTGAGTCTGGAGGATTGTGAGTTTTTGGACTCCATTATCCAAATCAGTTGCTTTATGAAATGGATGTCAGGACTGAAGCAATAACAACACATCAGTGCTCCCTAGAAAAGGTCATTGTAAAATGGAGAGGATGGGACAGTGTAAATTCACAAAAATATGGGCATGGAGAAGAGGGTAAAAAATTATTCACTGCACTGTTTTCCAGCTTTTTATGCCTCTTTAAAATAAAAATTAATAGCTCCAGCCAGTTTTCTGGCTACAGATGCAAACATCACAGCTGGAAGTTCATTCAGGATTAAGACACATAAATTAATATTGTGAACTAATTTTCTATGATCCCATTATAGTGTATTGTTTTTGCATGGCAAGGTAGGGGTTTTTAGTGGGGGAGCAGGGTGGGAAGCTTCAAGGGGTGACTTCTGTAAGAAGCTGCCAGAAGTTTCCCCCATATTGGACAAAGACAATACAAGACAGCTCCAAGATGGACCTGCTGCTGACCAAGGCTGAGTCCATCAGTGAAGGTGATAGCACCTCTGGAGTAACAGATTTAAGAAGGGCAGGGGGGAAATTGGCATCTGCAGCTGGGACAAAGGAGTGAGAATACATGAGAGCAACAACTCTCCTGACATCAAGGTAAGTGGAGAAGGAGGATGAGGAGATGCTTCAGGTGCCAAAGCAGCATCCTGCAGCCCATGGTGCAGCCCATGGTGAAGCAGCTCTGCCTCTACAGTCTATGGAGGTCCACAGTGGACCTGTAGCCTGAGAAAGACCCCACACTGGAGTAGTGGAAAGGTGTGAGGAGTCCTCCTGCTGATTGGCTTAGGCAGATCACTCTAGGCGTGAGGGACTCCACTGACTTGATCTCCTTTGCCTATAGTGGGTGCCTGAGGTGCTCATCCATAGGTACGTACTGGTGCGCAACTGAACATGGATATCTTTAGGTGTCTTCCCATGTCTCAAGAACAGAGGAGAGCTGAAGTGGAGGGGTATTGCCATGCAGGTGGTCAAAGTGTTCACATAACAAAAAAATGGGGAGAGGCTCCAAGGCTAATGTGGTGACAAACATCTCCAGACTGTGGTGAGTTGTGCAGAATGTCTTTTTGCAGTCAGTATGCAAACACTCATACACACACATATATATATATATACACATGAATAAATAGTCTCTATGGAGCCATGTGTGCATTCCTATTAAAAGAATGCAACCAGTGCAGATAATAATTTATGAACTATCAAACCCACTTTTGAAAACTGGTCTACAGAATATGGCAAGAATATTTATGACTGAGATTATAGCCCTGTGAAAGCAGACGCTTGTAATACAAACATTGTCAGATGTTTTAACTGTGACTTTGCCAAGTGAACCCCTGGAGGCCTCATCTGAAGCCCATTTAAAGCAATAGAAATCTTACCAAAGACTTCAGTGGGTTTTAGGATCAGGCGTCCAGTGTGACTTGCAATGCCTGTGTGTTAAACATCCATTTATCTCTCTGCTGTTCTAAATCAGTTGAAAGTCTGTAATATCAAATTTGTTTTAACTGCTCGACCTGGGAGACCAAACTACTTTCAGTGTAACACGCAGGGAATGATATGAACAGCTTCCATTAACACTAAGGGACAAATAGTGTCTAATTCTGTATATGTTGCAAAAACTTTCCCTCATAAAATGTACTGCATTATACATAAAAAATGGTCCTGCTATTTTCAGTTTCTAGATATTTATTGGACTTTTCTACCACTAGCCATTTCTATCTGCAGAATGGTCTTCTATCTGTTTTGGGGAATAGTATATTGACACATAAATTGTGTTCGAAATATGCAAGAGCCATATTTTAAACATGAGACCTATTTAAGAGACAGTCCATAGATTTAAATCTTTGACTTTCTTTGTGAAGTGAAACTGAATTGCACTTTTTCCTTTTCATTCTATAATGCAAGTATTTAATTTTTTCAGCAGAAAGAAAAATAAAGGCAACATATTTTATGTAGTTCTTTCCAGAATGAACAAAAGATGACTAAATAGAATTTCAGATGGGAAATTTTAAACATAAATTCACAAACTTTCCCATTTGACATCAAATCTTTTCCCATTTTTTTTATATCATTCCCTGAAATTATGTTTTACTTTTCAGCACAACAAAATGCTGAAGGCTTGTAAGAGAAGAGTAAATAGGAGTTTTATTGAAATACTTACAAACATTTTTTTTTTCAGTATGTGGGGTTGCCAGAGTACCCCACTTCTTGGTTAGAAGTAACTCCATATGTCTGTTACAACTTTTAGTATGTCATAAAATAACCATGATCAATAGGGTATTCCATACTTATAAAAAAAGCAGGATATAAACTGTTAAAATGGAAGTATCTGGTGCATTTGGAGGCAAATACATCTTAAATGCTCTCAGTAGAACCCTATGATGAACAGGGCTGATGTATTTTGATCCTGTTTTACTGCATGACATCCACTAACAAGCAATTGCTCAGCAGGCAAATCTGAACTCTTTCAGACTGAGTAATATCAACCAGGTCATTTATTCATGTTCATCATCTCTGTCAAGGGAAAGAGGATACTTCATTATCTGAGATCTTTTTAATGGTCACTTCTGACATGCCTGCTGTGCCTGGGCAGCATTTTTTACACATCTCTAGCCTCAAGCTGACAGACATTCATAGACAGAGGCTTCTGTCATTCTTTTTTCTCCATAGCAGGGACTGTGAGTTTCACTTCGGTTGGGTTTTGGATTTGTTTGTATTTCTGAACAGCAGATTATTATCTCTTGTTATAGGAGATAGGACTTTATTTTTAAACATAACTGTACAGCTCCTCTGTCCATATTAATGGTGTTTTTACAGGTTCCAGTTGAGCAATTTGTCATAAAATAGATCATCAAAATCAGAAATTCTGCTGGCTTTCTTCATTATTTGAAATTTCTTTCTTATAGAATAAATAGAAAATCCTATTTCTGGTATGACCTTGTCAAATGGGAAGCAAGTAACAGAATTTTGCATGTCCTTCTAAAATGAGTAATCTCTAACAAGCTTTATACTGAAAAACCCTCACCTAAACTTAGTTAGATTCCTGATGTGTTCAGTTTGGTCCAGAAATGAATTATACCAGTAGATCTCATCAACTCCAAGACATTTTATCTGCCCATCCTACACTTTGCTCTGGACTCCATGGTCTGCACTGCCTCACAGGGTTAAACCTTCCCTCTGGATGGATAGATATTTGTGCAGTTTTTTCCTTATGTAGTTCCTTTGATAACATTGAACCTCAGTGCAGTAAGTGTTGGTAATTATAAGGGAGAAAACCTCTGATAATTGGAGGATTAAAATGTCCAGTGCCTACCAGGGGTTAGGATAAAACACACAGCTTATTTTCCAGCTGCATATGTATGAAAATTTCTTATATCTGCTTCTAAAATTCTGGTTCCTTGAAAAAATCTTTAGAATTTTTTATTCAGCCTATGTACTTGTCAAATGTAACCTCTTCCATGAATTGTAGGCCTTTAAGAGGTATTTTCAGTGACTATGGAATTGTCCCTGTCCTGGGAGTGTATTTCTTCAGCCTGAGGGCTAGAATAGGGTGTATGAGAGATAGTAAGTATGAAGCTTGTGGCATCAGCAAGGTACAGATGCAGTAGAAAATAAAAACAATTAAAAAAAAAAAAAAAAAAAAAAGGTCACAGAAGCAAAATGCAAAATGCAGTATTTTTCCAGCAAGAGGATGATGCATTCAAGTGGGACCCACCTTCTGCAGTAACCAGAGGGAGGCAGTCATGTTTGCCAACCCATATATCCTCAAACAAAAGATAGATTAAACAGGCTTCTGTGGGGTATCCAGCATTAGAGCAGCCAGCCCTGGGAAGTGATGGGCACCAAAGCTCACTGTTCCTCAGTGCACCAGCCTCTGTTGCTGGGTGATTGCTTCTGCCACACTGCAGGGAAGACACAAAGCAAAACACAACTTATATTCAGATATGCTCATGAGGACTAAGTGAATATCCAGCAGAATACATCCAGTATGTCCAGTTAAAAGATCTACAAGAGACCTACACTTGGGTAGAGAGCTTGAGAGCTAAATGCCTGAACCATCCTCTTCCTTACACTAAGTTTTTCCCCATCAAAAAATGAAATAAAAGTTGCCTCTGAATTGTTGTGCCTTGCAGTCTCCAGTATGTCCCTCAGGACAGTCCCTGTTTTACACTTTCCACTTTGTCAGTCCCTACTAGAATCTTTCCACCTCTGATGCTTCCTGGAATCCTCTTATCCTGCCTACATGCAAGATCAGCCAAAGAGAAAATACAAAAAGCACTTTAAATGGTATCTTCTTTGGGATTCTGTCTATAACATAGAACCCTCCCTGTTACAATTTATTTCAGACTTACTTTGTTTTTAATTCGCTCTCAAACAAGCTTGGATAACCATTTCCTTGTCTGATATTCACCACAGTCTACTGGGTAGAACCTCAATAAACTGCCAAACAGTCATTGAAGTCCTTACTCTGTCCAGGATCTTGAGGCCCATCACATTAACTGAATTCTTAAGCATATGCTCACATCCTTTTGAATCACAACCTTATTTAAATAACATCTGTAGTATCACTACGTCTTTTCTACTGCATTTAAAAATCCCTGACATTTAAAACAAGGGGGTCAGCCTATCATGACTCCTCTCTAATAGTTGAAACTACCCCAGGGATGAATTTGGGTCAAGGTCTTGTCTTCATACCATTTTCTTTAATAGCTTTATTACTTCTGTATATGCATGATATTAGAAATATCTCAGGATTAATAATTTTTGTGATAACTGTAGTTCTTTCACAGAAGAGATGTCTTGGAACCCTACATTTATCAAGACATTAAGTATAGCTAACTAGACATTTCTTCTAATTGTCTAACAAGTTAATCAAGTAAATTGTTCATTGCTGTGTTTTCCTTAACTGTGTTTTCCTCTTTCCTTATAGAAGATAATGGACAGAAAAATGGAGAAACTGTCTGATTTCATTTAGCTCATAGTTTATCACCTATTCCCATTCTCAGGGCCACCATATTTCTAAAAATTTGGAAAACCACAAATTGCTGATGGAGGTGAAATTCTCCACAGTGCCTTGTATGGACATTTTGCCAAGTGGTGTGAACCAAATAAGCATTTCAAAGATCAGACAAAGTAAATTACAGTCAGGATTTTGAAACGGCCAGAATGCCCTGACCGCAAAGAACAGGGTATTTCCTTTATATGTGGGAAATGAGGAGACACATACATACACTACAGATTTGTTTACACCACACATAGTTCTTCCTAAGTATAATCTTGAGCAATGTCACATGGAACAACTGAATCAACACAGCCTGAGTATTGGATTTAAAATCTGAGCTTGGGAATTGAATAAACTCATAGACCACTTAAGTAATTTAGATGGGAAGAAACATTGTTGAAACGTACGACTAATTAACATTCACGTAGTATCTTGGGCTTTACCACCAGTTATAATGGAGCAGTTTTTTTCCACACAGTAATACAGTTATAAGTATTTTGATGAGGTACTTACAGCAGGAATGACACTTGGACAGGCAGAACCAAGTGCAGGGTTCTCTCTCCTGCAAAGTTCAGTAGGGGATGGCAATCAACTTTGGTCTGCTGTTTCCATTTCTGCTCTTGTTTCATGTTCTACTTGACTTGCAATCACCCTCCAAGGTCCCTGCCTTTATTAAGGCTGAGTAAACCTCCTTTAGTGAATCAACTCCTTGTAGAGCTACTTGCTGTAAATACCTGTTAATTATTCAGGGATTTTGAAACCTTTAGTCTAGCCTAAGAATCAAGAGATTCACTTGCTAAAGTTTATTCCAAAACAAAACTCAGACAAAAAATACTGGTCTCAAACAAGAATTTTGTGAGAAAACCCAAACAAATTAAGACTTAATTTTTTTTCTTTTTACATTTACACATTTGGAAACTGAATCTCTTATCATACAGTCTTTGCTACATAACAGGTTATTTTAAGCTATAGGCAAAAACGTATTGTACTATTATATTTTTCCATCTCACCAAAACTACACATAATATACTGCTTGAATTTACACTACCTGTAGACATGTTAAGTAGAAGATGGCTCTAAAGCTATATCTTTTTACGTGAATGTTGAAGCTTTGTGTTAAAGGCTATTTAATGGTGCAGGTTTCCAAGGTGCACTCATTTTGGTATGTTAAACATAGCAAATCGAAATTAAAAACATTGTACAGATTTGGGGTCACCTCATGGTTATTTAGTTATGACCCAGTAAACTCAAGGAAGTTTGGAGTTATTATTCTTTTGGAATCTGAAATAAAATTTTGGCTTTTTGATTGGTTAATGGTTTTGTGTGTAAGTTTCCTCTTAGTCAATTCATTGAAGTAGAGAATGAACACAACTTTGTCAGTAACAATCCAGTTTGCCATTATACATTTTACCCCGGAAAATGGAAGTACCATACTTGAACTTCTGGTAATATAGCCAGAGATAAAAATAAAATAAAATAAAGTATTCCTGCTTGTATTAGAAATGAGGTGTCTCTTGTGGCTTAATGATAGGGTCTGCTGATGGGAAGAGTATCAGAGAAGAATAAAGATAAAAATGCCCTCAGAAGTTGCCCTGTGGATGATGGTTCAGATTCTTACAAATTTGATGGAATGTGTCATACTGTGGTGTGTTGACCCCAGCTGGACACCAGGTGCCCATCAAAGCTACTTTAATCCTCATCTCCTCAGATAAACAGGGGAGAGAGAATACAATCAAGGGCTCCTGGGTCAAGATAAGGACAGGGAAGAGATCACTCAGCAATATTACCGTCAAAGGCAAAACAGACTTGACTTAGGGAAATTAATTTATTATCAATTAGTTCAGAGTAGGGTAATGAGAAGTAAAACCAAATCTTAGAAGACACCTTGCCCACAACCCTGCCTTCTTCATGGACTCAGCTTCGCTCACAATTTTCTCTACCTCCTTAATGCTCAACAGCGCAGGGCAACAGATAATGTGGTCTGTGGTTAGTTCATCACATGTTTTTTCTGCCCAGATGAGGTGTAGTCCCTGACTGGTTTGGACTTTGATGCAACAAGACAACTGTATTCCTTTAGGTTCAGAGGGATTTTGCAAGCACAACTTACACTCTTACCTCCTCAGGGGGAGGAGTTCTCACACTCTTCCCCTGCTACAGCATGGGGTCCCTCCCATGGGAGACTGTCCTCCACAGACTTCAACCTGAATTTCTCGCATAGGCTGCAGCATGGGTCTCTTCCACAAGGTGCAGTCCTTCAAGAACAGACTGCTCCAGTGTGGGTCCCCCACACTGTCATAATGCTGGCTGGCGTTGACTCTGTTGTCCATGAGGGAATTTTCTAGCAGTTTCTCACAGAAGGCACCTCTGTAGACATCCCCTGCCTAAACCTGGCCACACTGAAGAACACAGATACTGTGGCATAAATAAAAGCAGCAAAAACATATAAACTGGATGTTGTACAAATTTTACTGTGAATATCTTCCAGTTAAGAAGACAGTCTTATTCAAATCAACATTCACCTTAGAAAAATATCTCTTCCAATTATACTCAGGGAAAATACTGATGTAAAGAATTACTTATCTGAAAAACCCAACTATCCAACCAAGCAAAAAAAATGGTGAGTGTAGAGAGCATAAGATTTTCTGTCTGAAATTTCTTTTAAGGAGAAAAACAATCTTTATATCATCAGCTCCACTATAAACATTAGTGCTGTGTTACAGCATTAGCATTTTGTAGTGCTTGAAGCTCTGAGTGGGTGAAGCAGCAACTTCAAACCTTTTTGAAATCCAGAATGAGTTGTGGGAAAGGACTAGAAGAAAGATCATTAACTCCAGAGAAAAATAGTGAACATCCGTTTTGAGGAACATTGTGCAGTAGGAATAAGTTGAAAATAGACGGTTACTTTACATTTTCCAGTCGATATTTCAGCCTAAAATCCGAAGAATCTGAAGACATCAAATGCAGGAGTGTTTGGTGCCCTTTCTTGATGGTGGCAGTCCAAACTGAAATAATTCAGAGCTGTGAAATACCTGATCTTTGGTGAGAGAAGCAGAGAAAGACATAGATTGTGCTGGCACCTAACACAGCAGAAAGAAGCAATCTCACAATAAATGGTGTCAATATCCAATTGATATGAAATGTTCAATTCTTGTGTTACCTGGGGTATTTTGTGGAAACAAAATATGCCTGTATGGAAAAGAGACAAAAGAGAGATTTAAGAGGAAACAAAGTATTTCTGTTAAGGGTAATGAGAAGAGTTTGTGTCCTTTATAGATCTCAACAAAAGATCTCAGAGGCTGCTTTCTAATATAATACTACAAACTAGATCAAGTTCAGAAATAAGTCTCAGTTAGTGAGTATTTCTCCTTTTTCAGTGTTGCAACTGGAAAAGCTTTAGATTCCAGAAGTAGAAAGCTTTAAGAAATTCTAACAGGAATAAATTCAACTTTCTTTCCACTTAACTTCGTAACTGTGTTGATCTTTTATAAGACCTTGCCATTCCTAGTAACAGGCAATAAGCTCTGTACAGAGTTTGCAAGGCCTTGGGACAAATCTGTCAGGTCCACTCTTACTGAGCTTTTCTTAACCTGCCTATAGCTTTGTTTTGCTTGGTTTATCTCCAACACCATTTTTTTTCTACTTGACCAGGTGTCTATTGTGAATTTGTTTTTGTTCTCTTTATCTTTGTATATTGTCACCTCTAACATAAAGAAGTAGCAAGTAATGTGGACATAGCAGAAGCTTCAATATGATAGTAGAAGCTTTGAGAAGTGAGGCCACAGGACATGTGTGGCATAGAGGACTGCAGGAATGGAATGCTAAAAGATGGAGTACAAACTTGATGCAGGAGACCACGGGCTTATAAACAACTCAACAATGGGCAGT